TGCCTCCAACATGTACTTAATATTATTTAGGGTATTTGTTTTATTAGTGTATTATCTACTTTAACCACTTTACTAATCACATCCTAAGTATATGATGAAAATCCTCCTCCTCTATTGACATTGTTAAACTGTAGTTCCTCAGCTTCTCCAGCAGGTGGCGTCCTTTAACCACCCACCACCTTTAATGCTCTGGCGCCTCTTGTCCTTTGACCCCAGCAGCTCAGTGTTTCTGTGTTTTGTCTGTAGACAGATCAGCTGCTTGGTGTTTGGGTGAATCTCGTCCTTGGCTGAGGTCTCACTGTGCTGCTCAGTATTCTGCAGGACACGCAGAAAGACTAATCCCCCATCATGCCTTTCTGCAGAGGTCACACCACGGCGTGCGCGGTTCGTTCACATGTCACAGACATTACAGTAGTTTTACGCTGTGGACACAAGGTCATTAGATCCGGAAACACTGCAGCGGTCATCAGCTGATTGTGCATAAGCAAACATTTCCTTCCCTTTGCTGGATCAGTCAGCGTGAGAGTGCGTGTGTGTGTTCATACAGTGTGTGTGTTCTCAGTGCTCTCTCAGTTATAAAAAATCTAAATAAAGTTTGTGTGGACTTCTCCTGATTGCAGGACCCCCCCTCTCTTTAGTTTTCCATGTTTATTTGAGCAGAAAGTGGAGACGATTGGCAGCTGATTAATTTTTCATTCACTGTAAAACAATGTGTGATCACATTACAGTGCAGTGAGAGCCCCACTAGGATTCATCTGTCCCCTTAAACTCAATCAGAACAATGCAGATCAGGAGATGATACGTTTAAATCTGCTAGATCCGGATTTTTATTTGGATCAAATTGCACATTTCATTAAATATCAGTCGCCTAAGTGTTTGTTTTCTTTTCCTCAAGATCCAGGAATTGTTGCCTCGGAGATAATTGATGAAAAACACTCCTGGATCCGGCCCTTAGTACTTGAACTTACATGAGTGTGATATGATAATGACAGAAACCATCTTTGGACAAAAAATATTAAGCGTTTATTTTGACTTTCTAGTTTGGTCAATGTCCCAGCGACTAACATGCAGGAAGTATAGGGTTGTACCTATACTGCAGCCAGCCACTAGGGGGTGATCAAGATGATTTGGCTTCACAGTTAAGGAGCTGACATATCGTCCATCTTTATTTACAGTCCACGCTTGACCCATATCTCATCCTTCAACAAACTTTACAAAATCAGTTTTGCTGCTGACAAACAAACAATCCATGTGTTTCTATGTATCCATAGTTGTTTATTATTATCATTTCATTTTTATCCTTTGTGTTTGTTGTCGATTTTTTTCATTAGTGACAAAGAACACATCAGACACAACAGTTTACCTCAACTGTTACCGGCGCCACATCAGCAGCTTCCCCGAAGCCAAAGACAATGGAGAGGCGGGAGGATGCACTCAATAAACTATGAGAACAATCCATTAGCTATAATGGGACTATTAACTTTGGCAGATGGAGAGCGAGAGGATGCAGGTTTTTATTTTTATACAGAGGGAAGGAGAAAAAACAAATAAACAAACAAGAGCAGGAGGAGAACATCTGATGGGGCATTATAATGTTTTCTATTTTAACATTTCAAATCATCTTTATCCAGCATCTTTATCTACTTCCTGTCTAAGACCAAGAGCTGATGTGACCCATGGAGAGATGACTATGAAAACAGTCGTCAAAATTAAATGTCGTCATAAGTTGAATTAAAGGTTTTTATTTTATACGGAGGAGGAGATTTTCTAAACACTGACTTTGACTCAGACTCTGAGCTCAATAATCCTCGATCTGAACGTAGTGATTTAGAGAATCACTATGTTTAAAAAAAGGAAACTCCTTTTCATGCCCTCTGCAGCAGGTCAAGTCACAAAGCTGGCAGAACACGCCGCCTTAATGTTTACATTACAACAATCTTTCCAAGGGCACGTCCCCTGACACACACACACACACACACACACACACACACACACACTCATGCAGGTCTGGCTCGTCCATCAACCTCTTTTCTACAAAAACCTCAAATGTTATGAAGCTGCAGGACAAGATAAACATCTCCGAGCGTCCTCATCGACGTGCAGACCGGTCCTCACCGGTTCACCCATCAGTCACATTCTGTTTAGTCTGTCTCTTTTTTTGTCTGCTGCACCTCCTCCTCCTCCTCCTCCTCCTCCTCTGCCATGGCTCTGTATTTGGTTTCTCACCCTTTTAGCCTCCGTCACCATCTTACATAACACGTAAACACTGCCATTCATTTTGTTCAGGTCGTTTCTCCTCTGCTGATCCAATCTCCGACGTGTAATGGCTTTCTCAACTGCCACAGCGTTTCCCTGAGATACAAATCGTAATTACAGTCTTGTTTTTTGATCAGCGGTGCTGTTGTACACCAGATGACAGAGCCCTTCATCTGACCACCGCACTGTTGACTCAAACACACTGTAACATTTAGCTCAGCCTAACCGGCTCCCTCGATAACTGAGCTCAAGCGCTTTTTCTCAGCGTTGGCGTTTTCTCTGGAGAAATCAAACAGTAAGGTTGTTGTAAACCAGACTTAGTCTTTGAGTCGTGGTTGAAAATCATACAACATGTTAGTAAAGCAAAAAATAGATGGTTTCTCTTATACAACACATCCTGATTATGGGCTCAAATCTTGTTTTTGTCTCTACTGTATGAGCAGCAAGCAAAAATATTCCAAATTTATAAAACAGCAGTCAGCTTCCTCTCCCTTCAGAAACTGTCCTGAGTGTTTCACAGAACAGTGTCTGCACTTAAATATGTGAATTGTCCCTTTAAACAGGGAGGAGCTGGCAAATGAAAATGAAGCACAAGGGCACAAGGTTCACTTTGAGGGATTTACTGGCATCTGCAGTGAACTGAAACTGCACAAGAAGCATCACTTCTAAATAACCCTGTCTTAAACCAACGAGACCACGGACAAATTAAAAGTAGAAATATCAGTTCATCTTTTCGGTCCAACAAAATGTAAGTAACACGTTTTGAAGAAGTTATTCTTGAGAGTTTGTGTTCACGAGGTAAAAAATGTGCTGTGGCCTTAGAGAAGTAAAATCTACAGATACCACACTGTGGCTGGAAGCCTCTGCCAACCTTTGACCTTTGACCTTCAAAGTCTGAACAATTCAATGTTTGTACCAAATCTGAAGGAATTCCCTCAAGGCGTTCTCGAGACATCTCGGTCACGGACATATCCACGAAAACACAAACTGAAAACATAAAAGAAGTCTCTCATGTGAAATAAAAAGTGACCAGAACCCTGTCACTCATAGTGAAACCCTGATTGAGGAAATAAGATTTCATCAGATTCATCCTGACGTGAACCACAACCAGAACACCGTGACGCCAGATTCACCACTTCCCTTCACATCTACCTTTTGATCTTCACTGTTTCATCTCAGCGGCATCGTGCATCATTGCATCTGAACCTTCACGTGACGGAAACAAGCAGCATCAGTGTCGACGCCGACGTGTTCTGCTCCGTCCATCAAAACAGAAC